TACGAGCTCAAAAAATGGTCAAAAAATTCCAGAAAATACATTTTGACGAGCTGATTCGAACACATAAGGAGTTGGCGGTTCCGAACCAAGATTTTCGAAAAATTCGGTTTGAAAATAAAATTCTTTAAACATATCAAAATCTCGAAAAGCAGCAAAAAAATCTGAGATTTTTGAAAAGTTGCCAAAAAATTCTGGGAAATACATTTCGACGGGCCGATTCGAAAGACAACGTGTTGATAGTTCTGAAGCAAGATTTTCGAAAATTCAATTTGAAAATGAATTTTTTTTAATACTTCGAAAACTCAAAACACGGTCAAAAATCTTTAAAAAATTCTTGGAAATACATTTTGACGAGATGATTCGAAAAACAATGTGCTGATAGTTCCAGGCAAAGATTTTGCAAAATTCGGTTTGAAAATGAAATTTTTTAGGTATCAAATTGAAAATTCGAGATTTTGAAAAATTGCCTAAAAATCCCCAAAAATTCTGGGAAATACATTTCAATCAGCTGATTCGAAAAACAGCGTGTTGATGACCCGGACCAAAATTTTCGAGAAATTGAATTTGAAAGTGGATTTTTTTTTAATATGTATCTCAAAAGCTCAAAAACGGTCAAAATATCCTCATAGTATTCTAGGAAATACATTTCGACTTGTTTGACGAAAAATATAACGTGTTGATTATTTCGGGCTAAGATTTTCGAAAAATTCGGTTTGAAAATAAAATTCTTTAAACATATCAAAATCTCGAAAGGCAGCAAAAAAATCTGAGATTTTTGAAAAGTTGCCAAAAAATTCTGGGAAATACATTTCGACGGGCCGATTCGAAAGACAACGTGTTGATAGTTCTGAAGCAAGATTTTCGAAAATTCAATTTGAAAATGAATTTTTTTAAATACTTCGAAAACTCAAAACACGGTCAAAAATCTTTAAAAAATTCTTGGAAATACATTTTGACGAGATGATTCGAAAAACAATGTGCTGATAGTTCCGGGCAAAGATTTTGCAAAATTCGGTTTGAAAATGAAATTTTTTAGGTATCAAATTGAAAATTCGAGATTTTGAAAAATTGCCTAAAAATCCTCAAAAATTCTGGGAAATACATTTCAATCAGCTGATTCGAAAAACAGCTTGTTGATGGCCCGGACCAAAATTTTCGAGAAATTGAATTTGAAAGTGGATTTTTTTTTTTAATGTATCTCAAATGCTCAAAAACGGTCAAAATATCCCATAGTATTCTAGGAAATACATTTCGACTTGTTTGACGAAAAACATAACGTGTTGATTGTTTCGGACTAAGATTTTCGAAAAATTCGGTTTGAAAATGAAATTTTCTAGATATCTCGAAACTTGACAAACGGTCAAAAAAATCATACCGGAGAGCATTGAATGTTTGAGATTTTTTCGAAAAGTTGTTTAAGAATTCTCAAAAAATTCTGAAAAATACATTTCGACGAGCTGATTCGAACACATAACGGTTGATGGTTTCGGACCAAGATTTTTGGAAAATTCGGTTTTAAAATAAAATTCTTTGAATATACCAGCTCAAAAAATGGTCAAAAAATTCCAGAAAATACATTTTGACGAGCTGATTCGAACACATAAGGAGTTGGCTGTTCCGAACCAAGATTTTCTAAGAATTCGGTTTGAAAATAAAATTCTTTAAACATATCAAAATCTCGAAAAGCAGCAAAAAAATCTGAGATTTTTGAAAAGTTGGCAAAAAATTCTGGGAAATACATTTCGACGGGCCAATTCGAAAGACAACGTGTTGATAGTTCTGGAGCAAGATTTTCGAAAATTCTATTTGAAAATGAATTTTTTTAAATACTTCGAAAACTCAAAACACGGTCAAAAATCTTTAAAAAATTCTTGGAAATACATTTTGACGAGATGATTCGAAAAACAATGTGCTGATAGTTCCGGGCAAAGATTTTGCAAAATTCGGTTTGAAAATGAAATTTTTTAGGTATCAAATTGAAAATTCGAGATTTTGAAAAATTACCTAAAAATCCTCAAAAATTCTGGGAAATACATTTCAATCAGCTGATTCGAAAAACAGCGTGTTGATGGCCCGGACCAAAATTTTCGAGAAATTGAATTCGAAAGTGGATTTTTTTTAATATGTATCTCAAAAGCTCAAAAACGGTCAAAATATCCTCATAGTATTCTAGGAAATACATTTCCGCTTGTTTGACGAAAAATATAACGTGTTGATTGTTTCGGACTAATATTTTCGAAAAATTCGGTTTGAAAATGAAATTTTCTAGATATCTCGAAACTTGACAAACGGTCAAAAAAATCATACCGGAGAGCATTGAATGTTTGAGATTTTTTCGAAAAGTTGCTTAAGGCCTCTCAAAAAATTTTGAGAAATACATTTCGACGAGATGATTCGAACACATAACGGTTGATGGTTTCGGACCAAGATTTTTGGAAAATTCGGTTTGAAAATACAATTCTTTAAATATACGAGCTTAAAAAATGCTCAAAAAATTCCAGAAAATACACTTTGACGAGCTGATTCGAACACATAAGGAGTTGGCTGTTCCGAACCAAGATTTTCTAAGAATTCGGTTTGAAAATAAAATTCTTTAAACATATCAAAATCTCGAAAGGCAGCAAAAAAATCTGAGATGTTTGAAAAGTTGCCAAAAAATTCTGGGAAATACATTTCGACGGGCCGATTCGAAAGACAACGTGTTGATAGCAAGATTTTCGAAAATTCAATTTGAAAATGAATTTTTTTAAATACTTCGAAAACTCAAAACACGGTCAAAAATCTTTAAAAAATTCTTGGAAATACATTTTGACGAGATAATTCGAAAAACAATGTGATAGTTCCGGGCCAAGATTTTGCAAAATTCGGTTTGAAAATGAAATTTTTTAGGTATCAAATTGAAAATTCGAGATTTTGAAAAATTGCCTAAAAATCCTCAAAAATTCTGGGAAATACATTTCAATCAGCTGATTCGAAAAACAGCGTGTTGATGGCCCGGACCAAAATTTTCGAGAAATTGAACTTGAAAGTGGATTTTTTTTAATATGTATCTCAAAAGCTCAAAAACGATCAAAATATCCTCATAGTATTCTAGGAAATACATTTCCACTTGTTTGACGAAAAATATAACGTGTTGATTGTTTCGGACTAATATTTTCGAAAAATTCGGTTTGAAAATGAAATTTTCTAGATATCTCGAAACTTGACAAACGGTCAAAAAAAGCATACCGGAGAGCATTGAATGTTTGAGATTTTTTCGAAAAGTTGCTTAAGAATTCTCAAAAAATTCTGAGAAATACATTTCGACGAGCTGATTCGAACACATAACGGTTGATGGTTTCGGACCAAGATTTTCGGAAAATTCGGTTTGAAAATACAATTCTTTAAATATACAAGCTCAAAAAATGGTCGAAAAATTCCAGAAAATACACTTTGACGAGCTGATTCGAACACATAAGGAGTTGGCGGCTCCGAACCAAGATTTTCGAAAAATTCGGTTTGAAAATAAAATTCTTTAAACATATCAAAATCTCGAAAGGCAGCAAAAAAATCTGAGATTTTTGAAAAGTTGACAAAAAAATCTGGGAAATACATTTCGACGGGCCGATTCGAAAAACAACGTGTTCTGTTCTGGAACAAGATTTTCGAAAATTCAATTTGAAAATGAATTTTTTTAAATATTTCGAAAGCTCAAAACACGGTCAAAAATCTTTAAAAAATTCTTGGAAATACATTTTGACGAGATGATTGGAAAACAATGTGCTGATAATTCCGGGCCAAGATTTCGCAAAATTCGGTTTGAAAATGAAATTTTTTAGGTATCTCGAAGCTTGAAACATTTCATGTGCGGTTGAAAATTGAAAATTTGAGATTTTGAAAAATTGCCTAAAAATCCTCAAAAATTCTGGGAAATACATTTCAATCAGCTGATTCGAAAAACAGCGTGTTGATGGCCCGGACCAAAATTTTCGAGAAATTGAATTTGAAAGTGGATTTTTTTTTTAATATGTATCTCAATAGCTCAAAAACGGTCGAAATATCCTCATAGTATTCTAGGAAATACATTTCGACTTGTTTGACGAAAAATATAACGTGATGATTGTTTCGGACTAAGATTTTCGAAAAATTCGGTTTGAAAATGAAATTTTCTAGATATCTCGAAACTTGACAAACGGTCAAAAAAATCATACCCGAGAGCATTGAATGTTTGAGATTTTTTCGAAAAGTTGTTTGAGAATTCTCAAAAAATTCTGAGAAATACATTTCGACGAGCTGATTCGAACACATAACGGTTGATGGTTTCGGACCAAGATTTTTGGAAAATTCGGTTTGAAAATACAATTCTTTAAATATACGAGCTCAAAAAATGGTCAAAAAATTCCAGAAAATACACTTTGACGAGCTGATTCGAACACATAAGGAGTTGGCGGTTCCGAACCAAGATTTTCGAAAAATTCGGTTTGAAAATAAAATTCTTTAAACATATCAAAATCTCGAAAAGCAGCAAAAAATCTGAGATTTTTGAAAAGTTGCCAAAAAATTCTGGGAAATACATTTCGTAATTTTTCGAATGTACACACCGTACATAATATTTACAGTTTACATTAAAAAAATAAATAAATAAAAAATGTTTTCGTAGGAACGGTGTATATAGCGACCGAAAACGCAGCCGGTAGTCCTCGTCCGATGAAAAAATGCTCAGTTATTGATGAAATTAGTAATTAAGGGTCAGAATCGCGTACTTGTAAAAAGTATGTAGGTTTAATTGTTTAAAATCACCTTTTGGTGTCGGTCCTTTGTACGTATTATCAGAAAAACGCCCTCGTGCGTGTTTTGTTTTTTTCATGGTTCAGCCCACCCTATTCGAACGAGTAACTCGACTCTTTACGACCACTAATTACTCGATAAACCTCCCACATAAAGCGCCAGACGAGTCTTGGTCTGTTGGCGACACTGCAATCAAATTACAAGATCGACCTAATTTCATCTCCTTTTTTCAGATAATCAAAGAAGAATCCGTGCAAACGACAGACAGTTCAATGCGCAATTCAAATATGCAGTAAGTAGTCGATTACAAAACCCTGCAAATTAATCGACACGTTTCGTCCGTTCCAGAGCAACTACATCAAGACCTCCAAGTATTCGGTATTGACGTTCCTGCCCTTGAACTTATTCGAGCAGTTCCAGCGTCTGGCGAACTTCTACTTCTTGTGCCTTCTCGTTTTGCAGATGATACCTGCGATCAGCAGTTTGACGCCTGTCACTACAATTTTGCCCTTAATGGGAGTGCTGGGACTCACTGCCATTAAAGATGCATACGATGATATCGTAAGTCGGGTAGAATTATTTATTGATGGGAGGCTGGACGTCGGGGTTTTACGTTGCAGCAACGTCACATCTCCGATTCTCAAGTCAACAATCGAAAGTCGCAGGCGGTACGCAGGGGTAAGCTCGTGCAGGAACGGTGGTCGGCCGTCCAGGTCGGCGACGTTATCCGGATGGACAATAATCAGTTTGTCGCTGCAGATGTTCTTCTATTGACCACCAGCGAACCGAATGGGTTGTGTTACATCGAGACGTCGGAGTTGGATGGGTAAGGAATGGGTGGGAAATATGGGGAGAATTGATTGTTGGATTAATTCGACGACACGCTGCTGCTCCTAATGACGCAAGAATGGGATGACGTGAGCGGCCTTGGTCTGCGTTCGAATTGTACCAGCGGCTTAATCAAATCACTAACTAGTCATTAGTAATAGTCGACGGCGGTTTCAAGGAGCGGAATTATGGGTCAAATGGGACGGTCGTGGTTAAAATGTTGCGAGAGGCGGGTTAAAGTTGAAAGTCGAGCTGTTTTTCTAATTTTTAGGTGGTTGTCCATTTTTTTCTTTCAGGTTTCTAATTTCCTATTTGTTTTTCAAAACGTGCAAACTTTTTAAGGTTGTGGTAAAATCGTTACAAAATTTTTTCGTTCATGCTCCCTGCAAAAATTTGATCATTTTACAATTTTCCCGAAGAATGTTCGTTAAATTTCATAAAATGACACTCCAGTATCTGTGATTTATGAACCCGTTTTGCGTTTTTACCCTAGATATACAGCGTGTTATTGAAAGGTACGTACAAAATAAAATCGGTAATTGGTCTCGAAGTATGGGTGCTAAATGTTAAAAAAAGTTCAGGTAAAAGTGTTTTCCTTTTAGAGATAAAAATTATTAAAATTTATGTCCAAATTCGTTGTACGCCTCTGATAAAAAGATCACCTTTCGTTTCTATAGCAACATTTAGTCTTGACAAAAGTTTTATTGTTACTGTTGCTAGGATATACTAAAATAAATTAATTTTACCTATTTATCCTTCAGTAGCGTCTAAAAAGGTTGAATAAGGGTTAATTTTCCCCTTATAATTTTGATAACACAAAATAAGTTTTTCCGACTTCCTAGACTTCGCGAAGAACTGTCCATTTTGTTGTACGTACCTTTCAATAACACCCTGTATAAACTTTAGGGGGGGGGGGGAAATCCAAATTGGATGACATTTTACAATTTAACTTTCAAATTGCAAACTCGAATGCTCTGGAATCATGCAAAACTTTCAAGGTTATAGGAAGGATTTTTAGATTTTTCGATAATTTTATTTCGATTTGTCCGTTTTTCGATGCTCGAATTTTTGGTTTTTCGATATTTCAAAATTTCAGTTTTTCGATTGTAAATTTTTCGAATATTTTTTGATTCGTCGGTTTTTCGAATTTCCATTTTTCTGTTTTTCGATTTTTCGAGGTCTCGATTTCGATTTTTCGACTTTCGAATTTTACATTTTTTACAATTTCCTCTATATTTCGATTTTTGAATTTTCAGAAACTCTGTTTTCGATTTTTAGATTTTCAAATTTTCAGTTTTTGGATTTTTCGACATTGGAATTTTCAATTGGTTTACTTTTTGATTTCTTGATTTTTAAACTTTTCGTGTTTTCCATTTTTCGCATTTTAGATTTTTCAGTTTTTCGAATTTTTGGTTTTCATTTTTCAGTTTTTCATTTACGATTTCCCGATATTTCGACTTTTCGATTTCTCGATTTTAAAATTTTCGAATTTTCGGTTTTCCAATTTTTCGAATTTTCGATTTTTCTATATTTTCATTCTTTTTGCCGATTTTTAAATTTTTCCGTTTTCCAATTATTCGAAATTTTTCTGTATATATTTTATTCTTGGATTTTTCGATTTTTAAATTTTTGGAATTTTCCGTTTTCCAATTTATCAAAATTCCAGTTTTTTGAGTATTTGATCCATTGAATTCTCAATTTTTTCCATGTTGTTTACTTTTCGAATTCTTAACTTTTCAATTTTTTGATTCCTCGAGTTTTCGATTTTTCAATTTTCGGTTTTTAGATTTTCGATTTTTCAGCTTTTCAATGCTTCCTTATCTCGATTCTTCGATTTTCCAGTGTTTTTAAACTTCAAATTTCTATTTTTCGAATTTTCGGTTCGATATTCTAATTTTCTAAATTTTTCTTTATTCGATTTTTCTTTTTTTCTATTCTTCAGTTTGTCGATTGTCGAATTTTCGACTTTTTCTATTTTTCGATATTAGAATTTAATTTGTTTACTTTTTGATTTCTCGATTTTCGTATTTTCGTTTTTTCTATTCTTCCAATTTTCTTTTTTCAATATTTGAATTTTCAACTTTTTTAAATTTCGATTTCTCGATTTTAAAATTTTTGGAAATTTCAGTTTTTCCTATTTTTCGAATTTTCAATTTTTCCATTCTCGAGACCTTTCATTTTGTTGTTTACTTCTCGACTTTTTGATGTCTCGAGTTTTCGGTTTTTACATTTTAAAATTTTGTGATTTTTTCAATTCATTTACTTTTCGAATTGTCGATTTTTCAAGATTTCAATAAATATGTACTTCGATATTTCGAGTCTCCGATTTTCCAGTGTTTTTAAACTTCAATTTTTTATTTTTCGAATTTTCGGTTCGATATTCTAATTTTCTATTTTTTTCTTTATTCGATTTTTCTATTTTTCTATTCTTCAGTTTGTCGATTGTCGAATTTTCGACTTTTTCTATTTTTCGAATTTTCGATATTAGAATTTAATTTGTTTACTTTTTGATTTCTCGATTTTCGTATTTTCGTTTTTTCTATTCTTCCAATTTTCTTTTTTCAATTTTTGAATTTTCAACTTTTTTAAACTTCGATTTCTCGATTTTTAAATTTTTGGAAATTTCAGTTTTTCCTATTTTTCGAAATTTCGGTTTTTCGATTTCTCAAGTTTTCGATTTTTCAATTTCTAGAATTTTCAATTTTTCCATTCTCGAGACCTTTCATTTTGTTGTTTACTTCTCGACTTTTTGATGTCTCGAGTTTTCGGTTTTTAGATTTTAAAATTTTCGATTTTTTCAATTCATTTACTTTTCGAATTGTCGATTTTTCAAGATTTCAATATATTTGAATTTTCAACTTATTTAAATTTCGATTTTTAAATTTTTCGACCTCCCGATTTGACAATTTTCGATTCCTCGATATTTAAAATTTTTGTTTTTCGATTTTTCTATATGTATTTTATTCTTGGATTTTGGATTTTTAAATTTTTGGAATTTTCCGTTTTCCAATTTTTCGAAATTTCAGTTTTTTGAGTATTTGATCCATCGAATTCTCTATTTTTTCCATGTTGTTTACTTTTCGAATTCTCGACTTTTCAGTTATTTTACTTTTCGGTTTTTCGAATTTTAGATTTTTCGATTTTTCCTTTCTTGAGTATTTAGGCTTTTCATTTTGTTTTTACTTCTCGATTTTTTATTTTCTCGAGTTTTCGGTTTTTAGATTTTCGATTTTTCAATTTATCAATGCTTCCTTATTTCTATTCTTCGATTTTCCAGTGTTTCCATTCTTCAGTTTTTAAACTTTAATTTTTTATTTTTCGAATTTTCGGTTTTTCGATATTCGAATTCTGTTTTTCTTTTATTCGATTTTTCAAATTTTCTATTCTTCAGTTTTTCGATTTTTCAATTGTTTTACTTTTCGATTTCCCGATTTTTCAGTTCGTCGATTGTCGAATTTTGGACTTTTAAATTTTTCGAATTTTCGATATTAGAATTTAACTTGTTTACTTTTTGATTTCCCGATTTTTAAACTTTTCGTGTTTTCCATTTTTCAAATTTTTGATTTTTCAGTGTTCTAATTTTTGGTGTTCTCTTTTCAGTAAAATTTTCGATTTCTCATATTTCGACTTTTCTTTTTTCTATATTTTCATTCTTGGATTTGTCGATTTTTAAATTTTTGAAAATTTCGGTTTTTCAAGTATTTTAATTCATATAATTTTCTTTTTTTTCCATTTTGTTTACTTTTCGATCTTTTGATTTCTCAAGTTTTCGATTTTTCAATTTTTCGGATTTTCCATTTTTCAATTTTTCCATTTCTGAGTATTTGGACTTTTCATTTTGTTGGTTACTTCTCGACTTTTCGTTTTTTAGATTTTCGATTTTTCAATTCATTTACTTTTCGAATTCTCGATTTTTCAAGATTTCGATACATATGTACTTCAATATTTCGATTCTTCTATTTTTTTTGATCCATCGAATTCTCTATTTTTCCATGTTGTTTACTTTTCGAATTCTCGAGTTTTCGGTTTTTAGATTTTCGATTTTTCAATTTATCAATGTTTCCTTATTTGTATTCTTCGATTTTCCAGTGTTTCCATTCTTCAGTTTTTAAACTTTAATTTTTTATTTTTCGAATTTTCGGTTTTTCGATATTCGAATTGTCTGTTGTTTTTTTATTCGATTTTTCAATTTTTCTATTCTTCAGTTTTTCGATTTTTCAATTGATTTACTTTTCGATTTCCAGATTTTTCAGTTCGTCAATTGATTTGGACTTTTAAATTTTTCTATTTTTCGAATTTTCGATATTAGAATTTAATTTGTTTACTTTTGGATTTTCCGATTTTTAAACTTTTCGAGTTTTCCATTTTTCAAATTTTAGATTTTCAGTGTTCAAATTTTTGTTTTTTTTTTTTTGATAAAATTTTCGATTTCTCGTATTTCGACTTTTCTTTTTTCTACATTTGAATTTTCAACTTTTTTAAATTTAGATTTCTCGATTTTTAAATTTTTCGACCTCCCGATTTGACAATTTTCGATTTCTCGATATTTAAAATTTTTGTTTTTCGATTTTTAGATTATCGAATTTTCGGTTTTTCAAATTTTCGATTTTTCTATATGTATTTTATTCTTGGATTTTGGATTTTTAAATTTTTGGAATTTTCCGTTTTCCAATTTTTCGAAATTTCAGTTTTTTGAGTATTTGATCCATCGAATTCTCTATTTTTTCCATGTTGTTTGCTTTTCGAATTCTCGACTTTCCAGTTATTTTACTTTTCGATTTTTCGGTTTTTCGAATTTTAGATTTTTCAATTTTTCCTTTCTTGAGTATTTAGACTTTTCATTTTGTTTTTACTTCTCGATTTTTTGATTTCTCGAGTTTTCGGTTTTTAGATTTTCGATTTTTCAATTTATCAATGCTTCCTTATTTGTATTCTTCGATTTTCCAATGTTTCCATTCTTCAGTTTTTAAACTTTAATTTTTTATTTTTCAATTTTTCTATTCTTCAGTTTTTCAATTTTTCAATTGTTTTACTTTTCAATTTCCCAATTTTTCAGTTCGTCGATGGTTGAATTTTGGACTTTTAAATTTTTCTATTTTTCGAATTTTCGATATTAGAATTTAATTTGTTTACTTTTTGATTTCCCGATTTTTAAACCTTTCGTGTTTTCCATTTTTCAAATTTTTGGTGCTCTCTTTTCAGTAAAATTTTCGATTTCTCATATTTCGACTTTTCTTTTTTCTATATTTGAATTTTCAACTTTTTTAAATTTCGATTTCTCGATTTTTAAATTATCCATTTTTCTATATCTTCATTCTTGGATTTGTCGATTTTTAAATTTTTGAAAATTTCCGTTTTCCATTTTTTCTAAATTTTGGTTTTTCAAGTTTAATTCATCGAATTTTCTGTTTTTTCCATTTTGTTTGCTTTTCGATCTTTTAATTTCTCAAGATTTCGATTTTTCATTTTGTTGGTTACATCTCGGCTTTCGGTTTTTAGATTTTTAATTTTTCAAAAGTTTTTTTCAATTCATTTACTTTTCGCATTCTAGATTTTTCAAGATTTTAATACATATGGACTTCAATATTTCGATTCTTCTATTTTCCTCTGTTTCCATTCTTCAGTTGTTAGACTTTTAAACTTTTTTTTAGATTTTCGATTTTTCGAAAGTTTTTTTCAATTCATTTATATTCAATGCATATGTACTTCAATATTTCGATTCTTCTATTTTCCTCTGTTTCCATTCTTCAGTTCTTTTTAAATTTTTTTATTTTTCGAATTTTCCGTTTTTCGATATTCGAATTTTCTAATTTTTAATTTGATTTTTCGATTTCTTGATTTTTCAGTTTGTCGGTTTTAGAACTTTGAATTTTTCAATTTGAGTTTTCGTTTTTTCAAAATTTCAAATTTCAGGTTTTTTGGCTTTTCTATTTAGCGAAATTGGAATTTTCAATTTATTTACGTTTTGATTTCTCGATTTTTCAATCTTCAAGTTTTCATTATTCGGTTTTTCGATTTTTAAATTTTCGATTTTTGAATTTTCGAGTATTTGATTCATCGAATTTTCTGTTTTTTGTTCCATTTTGTTTACTTTTCGAATTCTCCACTTTTCAATGGTTCTGTTCTTCACTTTCTCGATTTTTCAATTTTTCCATTCTTGAATATTTAGACCTTTCATTTTGAGTTTCGAAATCTTGATTTTCGAATTTTCGGTTTTCCGATTTCGAATTTCTTTTTAAATTCATTTTTTGAAATGCTCGATTTTTCAATATTTCGGGTCTTCGATTTTCCTATGTTGCCATTCTTTTTAGACTTTTTCAATTTTTTTTTATTTTTCGAATTTTCGGTTTTTCGATTTTCAAATCTTCAATTTGTTAATTCAATTTTTCGATTGTTTTACTTTTGGATTTCTTGATTTTTCAGTTTGTCGGTTTTCGAACTTTCAAATTTTCAATTTGAGTTTTCGTTTCTTCAAAATTTCAAATTTGAGAATTTTTTGTGTTTTTGATTTCGCGATATTGGAATTTTCAATTTGTTTACTTTTTGATTCCTCGATTTCTTAATTTTTCGTGTTTTCCATTTTTCGAATTTTAGATTTTTCATTCGTCGAACTTTATTATTCGGTTTATCGATTTTTAAATTTTCAATTTCTCGATCTCTGAACTTTCCGCTTTTTCGGTTTTTCAAATTTTTGATCTTTCTATATTTTCATTTTTCGAATTTTCTATTTTTTTCCCATCTTGTTTACTTTTCGATTTTTTGATTTCTCCAGTTTTCGGTTTTTAGATTTTTGAAATCTTGAATTTTCGAGTTTTCGCTTCTTGGATTTTTAAATTTTAGCGTCTTCGGCTTTCCTATTTTTCGAAATTTTTTTCCAATTCATTTATTTTTCAATACTTCGATGTTTCGTTTGTTCGATTTTCCAATGTTACTATTCTTCGAATTTTAAACTTCAATTTTTTATTTTTGGAATTTTCAATTGTTTTACTTTTCGAATTCTCGACTTTTGAATTTTTCTATTTTTCGAATTTTCAACGTTTTGTTTTTTCAAAATATCAAATTGGGAATTTTTGGTTTTTCGATTTTTTTTGTACTTCAATTTTTGGATTTTTCGAATTTTCGGTTTCCCAATTTTTTAAATTTCGTTTTTTCGAATTTTCGAACTTTTCACTTTTCGATTTCTCGATTTTAGATTTTTTAAATTTTTCGTTCTACAATTTTTCGGATTTTTAATCTTTTTACTTTCTGATTTCTCGATTTTTCAATTTTCGGTTTTTTGACTCTCCGGGAGATTTTTCTATATTTTCGATTTTCGAATTTTCGATTTTTAAATTTTCTATTTCTCGATATTTCAACTTTTCGTTTAATAATGTTCAATTTTTCAATATTCGAATTTAATTTTTATTTTTTTTTTTGTTATGTTTAATTTTCGAATTCTCGATTTTTCAATGTTTCTGTTTTTCACTTTCTCGACTTTTCATTTATTTTACTTTTTAATTTTTTTACAATTCATGTACTTTTCGAGTTCTCGATCTCTCGACTTTTCGTTTATTAATTTTCAGTTTTTCATTATTTGCTCTAATGGAAATGAACAATTAATTATTAAAAAAAAAAAACGCCTCATTTGTCAAAAACTAACGAGGGTATTTACCAGGGAGGTTATCTAAACATTGTTGACCAAATGACGTCAACAGGGCTCACAGTTTTATTGGTATACAAAATGAGTGCGCGACGAATATTTTATAAATAGTACAAAAGATGACAAAAGACAAAATAAATAAATCATTAAAGAAAAATGACTGTAGGATTGAGTGTATAAAAATATCACGTCTCAACAACGGTTCATTCATCAAATTATAATTCAATTCGAATCTGGGACGAATTTAATTTAAATATTGACGATTTAAATTAACAAAGCATCTGATACAAAATTAGGGGTTAATATATTATTATTGATTCGTGCTACCAGTTATTACTTAATTATTTAGATGCAAATTCTGTGACATTTACCAGAAAATCAAACCAAATTTTAAGTAGTTACTTAATACGGTCCTACCTTCGACAATTATAGTTTCTTAGTTCTTACAAGGACCATCAATTTGACTAGATCAGCACAGTTTTAGACACATTCTAGTGTTATTTATTTGAAAAAATATGATATCAAATGTAGGTCAATTATTAAAACAATATCACCTTCAAAAAAAAATGATAAAGGTAATTTTTTCAGAAACTATGAAATGTAATGGTTTCTATTGACCACGCCATTACGCAAACCCATTGTTCACACAAAACTATTTTTATTTATGTTCAATGGAAATTAATCCCATGAATATTGTATCAGATTAATTCCACAGCTATTTACATTATCTACCATGTTAATGAGTGAGAGAGAGAGAGATAGAGAGATTCCGTAAACTTGACTCAAAATTTGGTGTTTTACAGTGAAACAAATCTAAAATGCCGGCAATGTCTGATGGAGACGGCCGTCATGGGCCAAGACGACGTCCTCTTGGGCGAGTTCGACGGCGAAATCGTCTGCGAAACGCCCAACAACCTGTTGAACAAGTTCGATGGTAATCTCACGTGGAAGAACAAGAGCTACTCATTAGACAACGATAAAATTATCTTGAGAGGCTGCGTTCTACGAAACACCCAATGGTGTTACGGTCTGGTTGTATTCGCCGGCAAAGATACGAAACTGATGCAAAACAGTGGCAAGAGCAAGTTCAAACGCACTAGTATAGATAGACTTCTTAACTTCTTAATTATAGGGGTAAAGAAACATATATAGATGTATATATAGTGTTTAACGCAGATGCTGGTCCCTTGCTGTATAAAAGAACCAGCATTTATGTTTAACACTCTAACACCCACTGACTGTGCTCTCCTTGCAGATAGTATTTTTTTTATTGTCCATGTGCCTTTTCTGCATGGTGGCATGTGGTATATGGGAGTCCTTGGTCGGACAATACTTTAAAGACTTCCTCCCGTGGGACACGCTAGTGCCTTCGGAGCCGTTAGGTGGCGCCACCATCATAGCACTCTTGGTGTTTTTCTCGTACGCCATCGTCCTCAACACCGTGGTACCGATCTCGCTGTACGTCTCCGTCGAGGTGATCCGCTTCGTCCAGAGCTTCTTGATCAACTGGGACGAGCAGATGTACTACGACACGACCCACGCGGCGGCGCGCACCACCACCCTCAACGAGGAGCTCGGCCAGATCGAGTACATCTTCTCCGACAAGACCGGAACCCTCACCCAGAACATCATGACCTTCAACAAGTGCTCGATAATGGGCAACTCGTACGGCGACGTGATCGACGCGCGCACCGGCGAGGTGATCGAGGTGACGGAAGAGACCGAGTCGCTGGACTTCTCGTTCAACCCGAACTACGAGCCGGAGTTCCGATTCTTCGACAAGAACCTGCTGGAGGCGGTGCAGCGGCGGGACGCGGACACTTTCAATTTTTTTCGATTGTTGGCGCTGTGCCACACGGTCATGTCGGAGGACAAGGACGGCAAGCTGGAGTACCAGGCGCAGTCGCCGGACGAGGCGGCGCTGGTCTCGGCGGCGAGGAATTTCGGGTTCGTGTTCAAGGAGCGCTCGCCGAACAGCATCACGATCGAGGTGATGGGACAGAAGGAGGTGTACGAGTTGTTGTGTATATTAGATTTTAATAATGTGAGGAAAAGGATGTCTGTGATCTTGAGGAGGGAGGGGGTGCTGAGGCTGTACTGCAAGGGGGCGGATAACGTCATCTACGAGAGGCTGCAGAGCGGCAGCGAGGACATCAAGCATCGGACGCAGGAACATTTGAACGTAAGTATTGGGATTAAACCAGTTCGAAAATGATGTACCTGGGGCGCCACCAAGTTATCAAATTCCGCTTGGCCACCCAAAATGCGTAGTTTTCCTTTGCCGAAACCTTAAAAACCACCATATGCGAGTAACATTTTGTAGGTGTACGGTTTTTCCAAGCAAATAAGAGTCTCGCAGGTGTCCGATTCCTCCAAGGAATATCTAAATGCAGCGATAGCACGAAGTTTCAGTGTAGTAGGTGCACAGTTCCTCTACTCGTACGTGTCCAATTCCTCCAGGAAACTTCATTTCCATTTTTTATTATGGTAAATGTATATAATTCATCCTAGAAATTCCACATACAGTCGCCACATGGGTTTTAAATACAGTGGATGTCAATTTTTTCACACAAATCGAATTTCAAACTTGTCCAATGCGTCTAGAAAACCACCACACTGCCATCCCTCAGATAGAATGTCGCAGTTGACCAATTCCTCCAGGAAATATCCACACCCAATGATCACGCATTTAGTAGGTATACGATTTTTCAAATGAAATGAAATGTTCAATTCCTCCAGGAAATGCAGTCCTGTCTTAACTTAATTCGTCAAAAAAAATCTCCATAGGAAATGGTTTCATGTTGTAGGTATCCAATTCCTCCAGGAAAATCCACATGTAGTAATCATGCATTTAATTATAAAATTCCTCCAGAAAACATCAGTCATCAGGTCACTTTTTAAATTTATAAGGATAAAACCCACCACTCTCAACGTCATAGTTATCCAATTCCTCCGGGAAATCTCACTGACACAGGATTCAAGTATAGTATGGGTAAATTTTTTCACGCAAAAAAAATGTAGGAGTCTTCACTAATAAAAAAAAAACATGAGAAATAGTTTCGTGTTGTAGGTGTCCAACTCCTCCAAGAAATGTCCACATTTAGTGATAACATTTTTAATAACTGCAAAATTGCAATACTCGCTAAGATAAAACTGATTTTGGCAAATGACATATCCTCGAAGAAAATGGAGGGCGGGTGGGTGGGGCTAGTTCCTGCTACGATAAGAGTTACTTTGGCAGATGAGACACACTTTAAGAAACGAGAGGGGGGGTGGGCGGGGCTAGTACTGCTAAGATGAAACTGATTTTGAGAAATGAGATACCCTCTAAGAAAAGCGAGGGTGGGTGGGTGGGGCTAGTACCTGTTAAAATAAGACTGATTTTAACAAATGACATTCTCTAAGATATTTAATTAAATTATTATAAGAAAAGACACTCCAAAGCACTTTTAAAAGAAACACAAAATTGATTTACATTTTCCAAAAAACAAACGGAGTCCCAAAATTAACTCAAAAATAGGTCATATCAGTACTTTTCCAAATTCAGAACACCAATGTCCCCAAAATTGTTTTAAATACTTTGCAAAAGAAATTCCATGGGCTCCCAAAATAATACACCATGGGTACTCGAGTCTCGCGATTAAAAAAAAATACTGTGTCTTATTAATTCGTGGAAAAAATGTCCGTGAGAGGTGTTTTCATATTGTATGTATCTGTTACAGCTAATATCCGAAATACGTTATTATGCATAATAACTAGACACTTTAGGAATTATGCATAATAACTAAACTTGTCAGTTATTATGCATAATAACCGGAAAGATTAGGAATTATGCGTAATAACTGAAACTTTCAGTAAATGGGTTTTAAATTATATAAAATAACATAGTCCTACACATGTAGTTTACGACTCCGAATTGAGTTTTTACCCGAAACGTCCAGATTTTTGGAAAAAAAATCAAAAATATAAAGCAACATTTTGCAATTAAATTTTACATCTGCAAAACCGAATGCTTTGAAATCTTGCAGATGGTTTACAGTTATGATAAGCATGGTAAATTTTTAGTCAAAATATATTTACTTGTCCCCTCCAAAAAATTGATGACGTCAGCTCAAAAGTTTGCCAAATAAATCCTATCTAAAATGTACAAACTATGAAGAGTCTGTACTTGTGGTTTATCATTCCATTCATATTTTTTTGATTTGCATATACAGGGTGACTCAAAAAATTAATGAATGCGTGAATTTATTTTATTGATTTAATCAGGAACTACAAAACAGAATACCTTAAAATCTTGAAGATATTTTAAAGTTATCATAGGCATTGTAAATTTTGCTGAATAAATCCTATTTCAAATGTGCAAAATATGATGAAACTGTATTTGTGATTTATCATTCCATTCATATTTTTTGGATTTGCATATACAAGGTGAATCTAAAAAATTAATGAGTGGGTGAATTTATTTTATTAATTAAACCGATTATTTTGAAATTTTGGAGATGTTTTAAATTTATCATAAGTATGGTAAGATTTTTAATCAAAATATATTTGCTTTCTAAAGTTGATGACGTCACCTTAAAATTTAACCGAACAAATCCTATCCTAAATGTGTAACGAATGATGACTCTATACTTGTGATTTATCACTGCATTAATATTTTTTAGATTTGCTTATACGGGGTGTCTCAATCAATTAATTTTATGGATTAAATCAAGAATTACAAAACTGAATACTTTGAAATACTACATACTTGGCAAATTATTATTAATCAAAATAAATCTGTTTAATTCCCCCACAAAATTGATGACGTTATCTCAAAATTTTGCCGAATAAATTCTACCCAAAATTATGTCGATTGTAGCTTACTAGATAATTGTTTCCATCCTCTGTTTTGAGGGGACGAACTCATTCAAATCAAACTAATTTCTACGTGACATTTTTTCGATGCATAAACATAAACACTTTCAAGTTGTTTTTCTTATCAAGGATAACCTAAGGACGTTCAGTAATGGAGTCCATTGGGCAATTTGTTACTTTCAAATTTTCTCGACATTTCATAACCCTTAGACAAGGCCGTAGCTAGGGGGAGGTTAGGGGATGCTCCCCTAGATCTAGACAAGTTATAATTAACCAAATGTGAATTACAGCATCCAAAAACCGAATAAAATGTAGTGTTTTATTCAATAAACGGAAATCAGAGCAATAAAAAAGTCTGGTCCCTCGGCATTGTTATCCGGTTATTCCAATTCGTGGAAAACATGTTTTAGTTTAGTTTATGTTTCACCGTCACGTCTACAGGTTGATAAGTGTTATGGTTATTTGTCTTAAATTACAAGTACTATACAGGATGTTCCTTTTATCTGTTCACGCCTGACAATTTTTGTATAGGCGACATATTATACACCCCAGAGACGACTTCGTTTTTTAATAAGCAATCATAGGAATCACAAAAAAAATGACAAAGATGTCAATGGCAAATAATGATAAAATTGAAAAAAATAATACTTACTCAATTTTTATTTTAAAATGTCCCGCTACCAAAATGTAATACGAAAAAAACATAATAGGCATGCAGTCGTCACGTTTCCGACAGCGAGGGAAGTACTGTCTAAACTCTTTAGACCAATTTTTTTTTTAAATCAACTGTACATGTGATATGTAGGGGAAAGCGAGGCAGGGTGGGTAGCTTTTTTGAAAATATTATGCATAATTCCTGTTCCTCTATTAGTTATTATCAGTATTGCCTAAACGTTTGCGTTATTATGCATAATAATTGAAAATTTCAGTTATTACGCATAATTCCTAATCTTTCCGGTTATTATGCATAATAACTGACAAGTTTAGTTATTACGCATAATTCCTAAAATATCTAGTTATTATGCATAATAACGGATTTCGGATATTAGCTGTAACATATCCAATTCCTCCAAGAAATATCCACGTAGAGTAATCACGCATTTAATATGTGCCAAATTTCTCCAAGAAAAATCACACAGTCATCACTTATTAAAATAATACGAATAAAATTCCACCACTCAGAATGTCACAGTTGTCCAATTCCTCCAGGAAATACCACTGACACAAGATTTAAGCATAATATGTGTAAATTTTTTCACGCAAACAAAATGTAAGAGTCTTGGTTCGTCAAAAAAAAAAAAAATAAGTGGTTCCATGTTGTAGGTGTCCAACTCCTCCAAGAAATAATCACATGTAGTGATCACATTTTTAATAATAAAGTCACACAGAGTCATCACGCCACTGTTAAGTTAATAATAGTAAAATTCCACCACTCAGAATGTCGTAGTTGTCCAGTTCTTCTAGGAAATACCACTGACACAAGATTAAAGCATAGTAGGTATATGTCAATTTTTTCACACAAACAAAATACCTAGTGTTTGGAAAATGGCGGATTAACTCTTCGGTACGTTATGTACGGGCGTCCAAAAAAAATAAAAAAAATCTTTATGATGTAGATTAGGAAAAAACATAATTTTATCAAAGTAAAATTGGCAACACTGCACGCACCTGATTTTGGCAAATGACATACCCTCTAAGAAAATAGAGCGCTTGTGGGCGGCGCTAGTAACTGCTAAACTCAGTCTTATCTTAGCAGGTACTAGCCCCGCCCACCCACCCTCTCTTTTCTTAGAGGATCTCTCATTAGTCTAAATCAGTCCTATCTTGGCAGCTACTAGCCCCGCCCACCCACCCTCTCTTTTTTAGAGGGTATGTCATTTACCAAAATCAGTCTTATCTTGACAGCCACTAGCCCCGCCCACCCACTCTCTCTTAAATTCTTTTGGGGTCAAATTGGTCTTAACTCGTCAAAAAAAAAAACGTGAGAAATAATTTCATGTTGTGGGTGTCCAACTCCTCCAAGAAATGTGCATATTTAGTGATAACATTTTTAATAATTGCAAAATTCAACCAAAGAAAGTCACACAAAGTCATCACACCACTTTTAAGTCAATAAAAGTACAATTCTAGCACTCAGAATGTTGAAAATGTTCAAAATTTCTGCATATAAGTAAACTCGTAATATTTTGATCATTTTTTGTTGAAAAATTAATCAGTACTCGCTAAGATAAAACTGACTTTGACAGGTGACATACCCTCTTAGAAAAGAGAGGGTGGGTGGGCGGGCCTAGTAGCTGCCATGATAAAACTGACTTTGGCAAATGA